CTCTATAACTGTAATTTTGCTACTGTTATGAATTGTAATGTAAATATCTTTTTGTTTTCCGATGGTCTTAGGTGACCCCTGTGAAAGGGTCGTTTGACCCCCAAAGGGGTCGCAACCCACAGGTTGAAAACCGCTGCCCTAAAGGGTGTTACCAATCGGGTTGAAGCATCCTACCACAAACCCTTCCACCCAGTAGCCTTCTGCCATCCATTGTGCTTTCCACACACAGACAGCAAGGGCCTTGCCTTGCGCCACCCACCCTGCTCAGCCCTGTCCTCATTCTTCTCCTGCATGATGCCTCTGCCCCAATTCTTTCTTCACCATTTCCTTCTCCTGCTGCACCCCACTCTCAGCACCCATGGAGGCATAAAACCCAGCCAATAGGCTATCCCCTTCAAATTGCTGAGGAGCAGAAGTTACAATGGGATGTCATAAAATAGAATCATGAAAGCCCCTGCATGTATAATGGGCTCATCATTGAATGTTCCCCGTACTCTGCCAGGTGAGGACTGTTACTGCTGGCTGATGAGAGGAAGGTAAAAAACTGGTGAGACGCTGAGCAGGAGTCCCAGCATTTTTCACTCTGTAGAGCAAGGCAATGAGGAAATCAGGCCCTGCTGGCCTCCCAACTCCAGTCTCGCGAGCATCAGATTACCTGCCTGCTGGCTCCCTCGTGTACACGCTGACCCCAGTCATGCTAGGCGGAGACCATGTGGAAGTCCCTGGTCCAGAGGAGAGGGACCCAGAGTTGGTCCACCATGTATTCATTCTACATGCTGGCCATGCGACAGGTGATCTGCTTGGGATTTGATGGGCATGGAAACGGAACGTTGGCCTCAAGGTGTTCATGGTCAAGTGGGAGAAAAACTCACAACTGGCTGTCATCTAGGTGATGCATGCCACTCTGTTCCCATACCAGTGTGTTCCTGGTGCCATAGTTGCCCAGAGCAGGGAGGCCAGAGAAGGCCAAGTGTTTCCATGAGAAGTAGTATGGGGAGGACTGGGGGGAGGGCTTGGAAATGGAAGCGTCAATGATAAGAGTCTCTAAACATGGGGTCCCAGCCTGAGATCCTGGAATGGGGCATGGAGTGAGGTGGGTGCCATGTCCCACTCTATTTTGCGAAGTTACGTCAGTCCCTAACAGCTGAACTTGTTATGATTTACAAACCCCAGCATGGTTACCACTGCCCTCCATCCTTCAAACTTCAGCAGAGATGTCAAATCCGAGCATATCCCTGACTTTCCCTCCAGCAGAACTGGCTGGTATCCCACACCCCATGCACACCACTTGTCTCAGGTTAGTATTCCCAAAGCAGACCCTGAGACAAAAATTCAAGGATTTGTGGGCAAGTGGCTTATTAGGAAGTGCGTCCAGGGGAAACCAGCAGGGGAGGGGGAAGCAGACCCGGAAGGGAAGGGGGACTGCAAAGTCCGCAGCATGGAGGGCAACTGGCTTGACCCTACCAGGAACTCAGGAAGCAGTGCAGGTCACACTGGACCTCGAGTCCATCTCTCTCTAGCAGACACGGGTCAAGGGCTGCCCTAAGGATGTAAGTTTTGAGGCATTTCCCATTTTTCTAGAGCCTGTAGGTTAGGCAGCTCCGGCAGCCTGAGGGCTGGGACTGCAAGTCCACCAAGAGCCAGTGTGTATGAACATGGTAAATGTGTCCAAAGGGATATGGATGGACAATGACGGCATCGGCTGCCTTCTATGCCGACTCTGTCAGCACCTGTGATACTTTATTACACACACTTGATCACATATCTGTCTGCCCACTAGAAGTCTGGCATATGGCACATGCCTAATAAGAGTTGGTGGATGAATGAATGAATGGAAAGAAGGAGCTAAGATGACTACCCACTGTCCGCTGAACAAACTCAGACAGATGAGTAACTTACCCAGGATCCCATGGGGAAGGAGCAGCATGGCCAGGACCCCCATCAGCCTTCTTGACTGTGCATCCAAAGCGTTTGCACTTAGCCTTGGTGGAGCAATGCCCTCCTGCCCCAGCCCTTTCTTAGAGCACCCCAAATAGCTTCTGACTCAGCTGGGCAACAGCTTCCCCTTTGCAGAACGTAGGCTTCTAGGACTTTCAAGGAAGCCTGGAGGGGTCGAGGGGAGGCTATACAAGTGCGTGTTTCCTCCTAGCTTCCTCTATAAAGGGCAGAGGGAGGTTGGGGTGCCCTGCAAAGAACCAGGCCCATTGAACCTAGCCGTTCTCCTCCTGCATCTCAGTTTTGCTCTCCTGAACATGGCAGGCCTCACAACAACAGTAGCCAGCCTCCTGCTCCTGGTCCTGTGTACCCATTGTATTGCCCTTGCAGGTAAGACCTCCAGTCCCAGCTTGGGTCTTTTGGGCGGGACGATGGCCCCAAGGGCATGCTAGGATGGCACAGTGGAGGGAGGAGTTGGAGGGGAATGCTGCTGCCCTGTGGCTGGGTTGGAGGTATTTAGTGAAGGGGACAGGCTCTGTCCATATCTGTAGCCCAGAGCCTACGGCAGGGTGAGAAAGGACATAGCTCTTCCATCTTCCTGTCTTTTAGGCTCTGTGGTCATACCCTCTTACTGTTGTATGTCCTTCACTTCCAAAAAAATTCCTGAGAGCCGAGTGGTAAGCTTCCAGCTGTCCAATGGGAGCATCTGCCCCAAGGCAGGAGTGATGTAAGTACCCAGTACTTCCCCCTGGGCACCTGGCGGGAGAGGGGCAGAGAGATGGAAGCCTCCAGGCTCACTGAGGAGTGAGGTCATGAGGACCCAGCTCTGTGATTCTGGGGAAATCACATCACCCCTCTGAGACTCAGCATCCTCACCCATAAAACTAGGAAGAGGATTCAGAGTCAACAATTATTTACTGAGCACCAAATATATACCAGGCACCAGTCAGGGCATATGATGTTATCTTAACTAACCCTCTTGACCATCCTATGAGTCAGATAGGATCATCCCCATTTTACAGAGGGCAACTGAGGCTCAGAAAGGTGACCTGCTCAAGGTCACCTAGGACTCCAAATAATTCATAGCTGCCTCTTGCACAAGGCAGGAGGTGTGAACTCACTGTGTAAACGGTGACATGCTGTAGAAATGTGATGTTTATATTATTAGTAATTTCCCCCACTGGCATCAGGCCCAGTTCCATAGCCTGGCACCCCCAGCTCAAAACTGGCCTGGAGGAAGACATCCCGCTGCCCCATCCCAGCCCTGGTATCCTTATTGGCCACACTTCCTTGCATAGTGTGTGAATTGAAGGTTCTGCCTTTTTTTCTTGGGGGTTTTCAATGCATTTTCTGACTCCTCACTGTGGGTAGAGATCCAGAGTTATCTAAAGGTAAGACTGGGCCTCCTCTGTCTTACAAAAGGTGACTGAACATGATACTGAAACAGGGAGACACAGACACACAGAGAGAAGACATCGTGCTAGTAACTTGCTAGGAGGCTGGGCAGCAGCTTGTCCTCAATGGGCTGCCACATTCACTTCCTCCTGAAGTGCTCCAGGCTCCCTGCCAGGTCTCAGGGGTTCCCTGTCATTCTTCCACAGCTTCACCACCAAAAAGGGCCTGAAGTTCTGTGGTACCCCGAAGGAGCAGTGGGTCCAGATGTACGTGAAGAACCTGAACGCCAAGGTGAAGAAGGTCTCCTCTGGTGCCAGGGCAATGCGTGCCCAAGTCCATCTCCAGAGACTCCCTACTAACATATTCATCTCATCATCACCTGGCCCCCTGTCCTAAGGTTGCGTCTGGATCTCCATTCTTCGCCAGGCTGCTTGGGGCCTGGTGAGCCAGCATTCCCCGCATTGCTTGCAGGGATGTGTCTAGTCTATAAAAACTCCTGGGGACTGAGCAACAGCTCCACGCATCCTGGGCCCCTGGCCTTCCCTGAGCTGGGGGAGAATGTCCTTTGTCTTCCTTCTGAGGTGGAGCTGGCCCTTCTCTGCCTTCCATGCTCTATCAGAGCCCAGGTGCTTGAGGCCCAACCTGTAGACAAGCCAGCTCGCACCTTTGCCTGCCACTGGCTTCTCTGGGCCCTCTGGTCTTACAGCTGCAGTGTGTGGGGGGTGGGGGTGGGGTGCGGAAGAACCTACAGGCTGCCTATCTGTCTATCTGGGGATGGGTGACCTGCCAACAGCTGCAGTTCTCCATCATGTGGGGGATGCCCCAGGCTTGTCTTTCTGCCAGCACTCTGAGTGAATAAAAACCCAACAAAAGCAAGGGGCCCTTTGTGGCATTCACTGCCGGATTCTGGCCCTCCTTGCACGCTTCTTATGGGATATGATTAATAGAGTTTTCAGGAACTCATTTGTTTTTGTAACAAAATGGGCATGGACGATCAGGATGAGGGGCCAGCCTGGGTAGTTTCATTCCTTTGTGAAGATATAGCTTCGAGGAGATGCCCCACTTTGTGACATGCCTTGCTCCATGCTGCTTTGGGGACAAAAATGGGAAGATGGGGAGGGGGGTGAGGGAGGAGAAAGACCCCAGCTTTTTTTTCCCTATGCATAAGATACCACGTAATTTATATGTTAAGAGTGTGGACACACTTGCTGCTGTCAGGTAACAATCCAAGTAAAATGATTTCTCCCTTGAAGGTGGTTGTGTCCTGCCTGTTCATGTCTCCCTTAGGGGCAGGGTTGGGTGTGAACAATGAAGCGTGTGTCCCAGAAAGCATCCTGAGTTGCCCAACAGAGGCTGGGAGGAGACGAAGGCCTGAGCCCAGGCACCCCAGGAGCAGTCTTGGCTGACTCTTGTAGTCATGTTATAAACGTTAAAAAACACATGATCAGCTGGATTCAATTAAATTAAAAAAAAATTTCAACATAAGTTATTGTGCAAGGAACTGTTGTAGGCATTAGGAGGCTATAAAACTATAGAAGATGATCTTTGACTTTGAAGAATTAGGGAGAAAAATAACACACAAATCAAGACCAATGTGGGTTTAATACTTTATTTGATACTTTTTAAGCTCCATGACCTCGAAATGCGTCACTTAACCTCTCTGAGCCCCAGTTTCTCTCATTTGTAAAACAGTGATAATGAGTGAGATCTTTTAACTTTGGGTTTTCCCCAGAAGCAGACCCTGAAACGATTTGAGTGCGACTATTATGTCTGGGAGGCACAGGGAATAACACCAGGGGGATGGAGAGGTGACAGAGGACAAGGAAGGCAACCAATGAGTGTGTTATCAAGCAGAGGGGAATTAGAGCTCAATCCACTGGGAACTGGTATGAGATCCCTGCTCTCAGAATTACTGCCAGGTGTGGGGAGGGGCGGTCTCCTGCAGGTGGGGACAGAGCAACCTTCCATGGTTCAAAACAAGCCCTCAGCTGCAGAAAGTCTGTAGAGCACACAAAAGGCCTGGCAGTAGACATCCAATATACAGTAATCAACATTCTTTAACTCCAGTATGAAGTGGAATAGAGTAATGCTGAACAATACAAAGTGTAATGGAGGGGAGGGAGCCTGCAGAAATCTTCACAGAGTTGGCAACAGAATGGTGACTGAAGTTTCACTCTGGGAAGAAGAGTGTATTTCTAAGGATGGAAGAGAGCTGGAGCAGTCAGGGACAAGGACTGAAACACAATGGCCAGACCATAGATGACAACAGAACTCTGACCCACAGCCTCTGAAGCACCAGCCCAGAGCCATCACTGTGGTCAGTGATGGTCAGCTCCCTATGACTCCCCCTTTTCCAGCTCAGGACCAACCAGAGAAAGCCAGATATGGTTTCAAATCAATCACGTAAGATGTTTGCTTCTAGTTAACTCACCTCCAGCTTCCTCAGGCCAACCACCTCCAATCAAAGCATACTCGCACCTCCACTTTTGTCTACTCTGAAACTCAACCCTCTCACCGACCTGCCTGTGAGTCTCTCCGCCAAATGTAAGTGATGGTGACTGACTCCCTTACTCCAGCCAGCTCTGAATGGATAACTTGATTGTTCTCATCTGGGTGGTCTTCATTTATTTCCACAGGGAAGTCATATAGTCTGGTACGGCTGCAGCTGGGGCTATGGGGGGACTGAAGCAGGCAGGGGAGAGGAGGAGGAGCCTTTGAGAGTGCAGAAGCTGGCAGTGGGCTCTGTTGCTGGTGGGAGAGTCTATTGGGCCAGCCTCTTTGGAGTACGCCTGGCAGCTATGTTAGAATGTTAACCACTCTGACCCAGCATTTCCACATTCAGGAATGGTTTCTACACATATGCACAGAGATACATGCATGTACGGGGTGTGATCAAACAATATGATGAATGTTTAAATAAAAAATGTATTACAGTAAAAGACACATTGCCATTAATCTCCCTCAAAATATGCCCCCTCGCTTCAAACGCACTTATCCCACACTTGTTCTTGCCACTTTCTGAAGCAGTTCTCGAAGTCCTCTTTCGTGAGTGTCTTCAGTTGCACTGTCGTGGCTGCCTCGATGTCCTTAATCGATTCAAAATATTTATCTTTCCTGGTCATTTTTTTTTAAAGATTTTTATTGGGAAATTGGGGAATGGGAACAGCGCTGGGGAATTGGGGGAAGGGGAACAGACAAGTTGCTGTCCAGTTTTGTTCTTCAGTCTAGTTGTGGAGGACGTTGCTTCACTGGCCCAAGTTGGCACCATCATTGCGCTCTTCCCGGGCGAGGCAGATCAGTCGCTGGCTTTTGGATGGCTGCTCACTGCGGCTGCTGGCCGCTCATGCTGGCTGCTGGCTACACACGGTAGCCCATGGCAACCCACTGCCACAGGGGCTGCAGCCTACGCCGTCGCCGGCGACTCATGGCAGCCCAGCTCCAGGTTGAGCTATTGTTCAACATCTTAGCTGTGGAGGGCAGTGTCACTGGCCCTCATCTGTGGGATCTGAACCGGGGCCCTCTGGCATCCCAAGCCAGTTCTTAACCATCGCGCCACTCGGCCAGCCCTTTCCTGGTCATTTTGACTTTGGGGAAGAACCAGAAGTTGCATTCTGCCAGATCCGGTGAATAAGGTGGATGAGGACACACCATAATGTTTTTATTGGACAGAAATCACAGTATACCAGAAGCAACGTATGACACAGAGCATTGTCATGATGCAAGATGATTTACGGCACACTTTAAAACACACCTTCTCTCAACACCCAACTGACTGCACCTAACAAGTTGAAATTTGTCACACACTGTTACTAAGGTTCGATGCACTGCTTCTGTATTGAACATCCCTGCCTTTCCATTGGATGACACTCGGCAGCAGTATTCACCATATTTCATGATCACAATGGAAAGGCTCTGTGTCACATATTGCTTCTGGTACAGCAATTTCTGTCAAATAAAAACATTACGGTGTGTCCTCATCCACCTTATTCATGGGATCTGGCACCATGCAACTTCTGGCTCTTCCCCAAAGTCAAAATGACCAGGAAAGGTAAACGTTTTGAATCAATTCAGGACATCGAAGCAGCCACGAGAGTGCAACTAAAGTCACTCATGAAAGAGGACTTCGAGAACTGCTTCAGAAAATGGCAAGAACAATGGGATAAGTGTATTCAAAGTGAGGGGGAGTATTTTGAGGGGGATTAATGGCATGTGTCTCTTACTGTAATAAATTTTTTTAATTTAAGCGTTCGCTGTATGTTTTGATCAGACCTCATACAAGGATGTTTATTGCAGCACTCTCTGTAGCTATAGAAAACTGGCAACGATTTAATTGTCCATTCATAAGGGACTTGGCCAAGACATATTTTTAAGTGAGAAGAAGAAAGGTGCATAAGGACATGTTTTGTACGATCCTATTTGTGCAAAAAAAGTTATACATCCGATTAGCAGCTTGATGGACACACAAACTATCCAGAGTGGGTGCCTATGGCAAGTCAGACCAGGAGCCTGGGATAGAGGAGACACAGCTTTATCAGTATATCTCCGTGGTGTTTGAACGTTTTGCTAAAAATGAGTGTACAGAAGCCATTAGGCTCTGTCCACCCCCATTCCTCTTGGGCTGTACCACTGCAGTGTGTTCCTGACTTCTTCCAAAAGCCAGCGGTCACTGCATTTCTGCATGTGGGTGCTTTGTCCCAAAGGCTGCTCTGCTATGCCAGGCCAGAAGTGACAGAGAATGAGCCCCAGGGCATCCCTGAGCCAGCGGCTGAGGGGAGCGGGTGTGTCCCTGCCTCAGGTCCCTCACCCCTTGGTTGGGGTAGCTCTGGAGCATGTATTCTATGCCACCTGCAATAGTTTCCCTGTATCCTAATCAGTAACTGGCTTGATGACATACCCTCATTGGCTGCCTGCCTCTCCTAAATAAACTACAGACGCTTGGATTTCTGCCTCAGCGTCTGTTTCTGGGAGAACCCAAACCCAGTCAACTAGTTTAAATGACCAAAAATAAATAGATAAAGGAGAGACAAGTTGGACTCAAGAGTCACAGACCTGGATTTGATCCCAGCACCCTCATTTTCTGGCTGTGTGATGCCAGAGGAAGCTAATTGACCTCTCTGGCCTCAATTTCCACATCTGTAGAATGGGCATAATAGAAGTATCTATTTCATGGGTCAGCTGTGAGGACTAAATAAGGCAATTAATGCACGGGAAGCACTTAGCTCAATGCCAGGCACACAGTACAGGCTCAACAGATGTTAGCTGTGGGCTTGCCCATGCTCTGGGAGGCAGAGAAACTGAAGCTGGTCTTGCTGTGGCATGGGCACCCAGCTGACACCTCTGTGGCCATTTCAGGATGCTCTGTCCCATGCTTTCTCCCGTCTCATTTCTCTGGTGGTCATTAAATGCCATGACAGAGAGAAGGCACTAGTTGGAGTGATGACGCTGGGGCACCTGAACTGTCCACCAGAAGTCCTGGCCTGCCTTTGTCTGGTCTTGAACCTTGGACAAGGATGGCCAGTATGTGTGTGTGTGTGTGTGTGTGTGTGTGTATGTGTGTGTGTGTGTGTGTGTGTGTGTATGACACCCTCCTGCCCTGCTTTGAAAGGTCACCAGCACAATGACACATGCACTGAGTCACCCATATCTTTCTTAAGCTACCTTGGGAAGCAGACATTCTGGAAATGGAGGGAGTGCCAGGAGTTGGCTGTGATCAGAGAGGAACTGGGCTCAGTTTGCAGCCATGTTAAACCCAAGTTGGCAAGTGTTTGGGAGAGAGTCCCACCCCTGGCAAAACCTGTCATATAATTCATTAAAACTGAGTTAAAAGCTCTGTCATAAGCACACAGCTGGTGCATCAAAAGGTACAATCATAACCCAAGGGTGGAAGAGAGGAAGAGAGCACAGGTGAGTCCTTGAGACCAAGGGGTGGGAGAAGGAATGAAGGAGAAGCAGTTCTCAATGCTGGGTGGGCTTCAGAATCAGCCCAGCTGAGGAGCTTTGAAATTCTGATTCCCAGGCCCCACCCCACACATGATGACACAGACTCTGCTTGGATGGGCCCCAGAAATATGCATATTTGAAAAAGTTGCCCAAATTGGGCAGCAACTATGGAAAACAGTATAGAGGTTCCTCAAAAAATTAAAAACAGAAGTACCATGTGATCCAGCAGTTTCTCTTCTGGGTATTTATCTGAAGGAAATGAAATCACTAACTCAAAAAGATAATCTATACCCCCATGTCCATCTATGGCAGCATATTCACAATAGCCAAAACATGGAAGCAACCTAAGTGTCCAATGATGGATGAATGGATAAAGAAAATGTGGTGTATGCGTATGCAATGGAATATTATTCAGCCATAAAAAAGAATGAAATCTTGCCATTTGCATATTGAGGGCAACATGCTAAGTAAAATAAGACAGATAGAGAAAGACAAATACTGTATGATCTCACTTATATGTGGACTCTAAAGCACACACACAAAAAACAAAAACAAAAAAATCCCAAACTCATAGATACAGAGAAGAGATTGGTGGTTGCAGAGGCAGGGGGTGGAGGGATGGATGAGATGGGCAACAGTTGTTAGAAGGTATAAACTTCCAGTTATAAGATAAATAAGTCCTGGAGATGTAATATACAACAGGATGACTATAGTTAACAATGCTGTATTGTATATTTGAAAGTTGCTAAGAGAGTAGATCTCATCATAAGGAAAATGATTGTAACTACATGTGGTGATGGATGTTATCTAAACTTATTGTGGTGATGATTTAGTAATACAATAAAACCTTGGATTGTGAGTAACGTGGTTTGCGAGTGTTCCACAAGACGAGCAAACATTTCTAATACATTTTGATGTGGTAAACGAGCGATGTCTTGCAATACATGCAGTTTGTTTCCGGAACGAATTATGCTCGCAAACCAAGGTATTACTGTATATACATATATCAAAACATTGTCATACACCTAAAAATAATACAATATTATATCTCAAATTTTAAAAAGTTGTCCAGATGATTGTGATGCCAGCCAGGGTTGACAGACTTTATCTTCTATGTGGGTAGACTGAGGAGCAGAGAGGGGCCTTGGGCTTCTTCTGGCCAGAGGGGGCCAGCTGGGAAGTGCCTGGCTGGGTTAATTGACTTGGACTGTTGCCTGTGGGTAGGGGCAGCTGATGAGCAGAGTTCTGTTCTCAGTCGCCTCTCCTTCCAGGTGGCAGCTGCAGTGGCAAGATAAAGGGGGGGAGGGGATCATGAAGTCTTATACGGTAAATCCTCATTTAACATCATTGATAGATTCTGCAACTTTAAGTGAAACAATATATTGGGTTGTCAGAAAAGTCATGACGTGCTTTTGCAACGAAAAACATAGAAAAATACGTCGTGACTTTTCAGACAACCCAATATAAAGAAACCAATTTCCCAATAGCCTAATTGACATAAACAAGAGTTAAAGTTTCTACAGCATCTCATTGATTTTATAAGAAAACATGTTATTCAAGGACCTGTTGTACTTGTTCAAAGCCTTTGAACTTTTCAGAGCCTCACTCCTCCCTTCCCTACCTCTCCTACTTCTCTTTCCTTTCCTCTCTTTGGGTTTTCTCCTCCCCACCAACAGTCAGCCTTCCAACTGGGCTCAACAAGGCTTCATCCATCAACTGGGAATACAGTGCTTCTCAACAGGCATGTGAGATGGGAGTCCCTGCCAGGCTGTCCCCCCAGCAGATCAGTTCTTTCAGAGAGGTAGCTTCTCTGTCTTCCCCATCCCCACATCCTTCTTGAAAGCAAATTTACTGAGAGAGGTTGCCAGCAAGAGGTCTGTTTGGGGCCAGAAGATGTTTTATTGTCAGGATGTTGAAATCCTAGCCTAACTCTAGGTCTTGACCTTTACAAAGCTTTTTGTTTCCAAAGAATTCCATAGCCTTGTTTCGACAGGTTGAACTTCTTTATTAAAAGTGGTGTTATGTAATTTCCCAGAATTGCAGGTCTGTCAATTTCTAGGAAACCCCTTCAGAACACACAAAGCTTTCCTTTCTCCTTACAAAACTGTGCACTTGAGTCGTTTTTTTTTTGTTTTGTTTTGTTTTTTAAAGAAATTTTTATTGGGGGAACAGTGCGTTTTTCCAGGACCCATCAGCTCCAAGTCAAGTAGTTGTTTCAATCTACTTGTGGAGGGAGAAGCTTCTTGGCCCATGTGGGAATTGAACCGGAAAACTTGGTGTTATGAGACTGCGCTCTAAACACCTGAGCTAACTGGTTGCCCACACTTGGGCCTTTTAATCTAGCATTCCCTCTGAGACACAGGCAGCTTCAGGGGAAATTATTCTGTTGTTGACCACACATGGGAAGGGTAGATACATTCCTGGGACGCTCAGCCCAAACAGGACAGTGAGGGGACCCCTGGCATCTTCCCCCACCCCCGGCTTCCCTTCTCCCACTTGGCTTCTGCCAAATCCAACCTCCAGTCTTCCTGCTTCTTCTTTGCCAGGGGAATTACCACTGTCAGGATTTTTGGCCTCTATGTTTCCTGATTCCAGGGGAAAATATCTTGTTACTGGCTTTCTCTGAAACTCACAGCCTTCTTCTGAGGGCTTTCTAATTTCTGAATAATGATAAGCCCCTTGGAATGTGAGCTGCTTGCAGGATGCAGGATTCAGGATGCTGTGGGCATGGCCCTGTCACAATCTGACCCAGTGGCCCTTTTCTCACCCTTCCTGAGAACACCTGGAGAAACTTCTCTTGGGACTCAGAATGGGGGCGAGCTGCACTTCTCCCAGGCCACCAGTCATGGGTTTTATGTTCCAGAAGCTGTGAATTGTGAGACTGACTGCATTTCCCTTTTGGCCTTGGCTCATTGAAAGTGTGCAGCCCTTAACCCTGGTGCACTGTTGGTGGGACTGTGGATTGGTACAGCCACCATGGAAATCACTATGGAGGTATCTCAAAAAACTGGAAATAGAACTACCTTATGACCCAGCAATTCCACTCTTAGGTATCTATCCCAAGAAACCCAAGATGCTAATTTGAAAAAATATATGCACCTCTATGTTCATTGCAGCACTATTCACAATAGCCAAGACTTGGAAACAACCGAAATTGGAAACAAGCCCATCGGTAGACGACTGGATTAAGAAACTGTGGTACACTTATACAATGGAGTATTACTCCGCTATAAAGAAGAATGAAATCTTAACCATTTGCAATGATATGGATGGACCTAGAGAACATTATGTTAAGTGAAATAAGTCAGTCGGAGAAAGACAAATACCATATGATCTCACTCATATGTGGAATCTAAAAACCTGAATAAACGAGCAAAGTAAACAGAAATAGTCTCAGAGATATAGAGGAAAAACTGATGGTTGCTAGATGGGAGGGGGGTGGGGATGAGGGAGAAGGGGAAGGGATTAGAAAGCATAAATTGGTAACTACAATATTGCCACAGGGATATGAGACAGTTTGAGGAATGTAATCAATAATGTTGTAAATATTTTGTAGGGTGTCAGATGGACTCATGTCTTGTTAGGGAGACCACTTCATGGACAGTGTAGAGGCTTGATGACCGCACTGTACACCTGAAGCTGAAGTTGAATAATACTGTATGTCAACTATAATTTAATATACATATAGTCACGGGATATGGAGTATAGCATAGGGAATAGAGTCAATGGAATTGTAATAGATATGTATGACATCAGAGGGGCAATAGATTGGGGGAGGGAGGTTATCACTTTGTGAGTGGTGAAATGTATAACTATTACATTATTTTGTACACCTGAAACTAATAATAAAAAAGAAAGAAAGAAAGTTTGCAGTCCTTGCAGCCTCTACAAGTACTGCAACCTTACTGCTTTGATATCCTCACTTAGTTGCTGAGTAGTTTTGTCTCCAGGACAGAGCCTGTAGCAAGCAAACCTTGAGGCCCTTTCTCAGGAGAGGAGAACAGGGTACAGGACCCTAAGACATTCAGAGTCAGGATAAGGCACAGGCATGAGACAGACCTGGCTTTAAACCTTGGCCCTGCCACATACTAGCTGTGTGACCTTGAACAAATCATGTCCCCTCTATGAATCTCAATTTCATCAATGGATGAAAGGGGGTTAATAAAACCTCCCTCAAAGAACTGCCATGAAGATAAATGGAGTAACTGGTTACAAACAAACAAAAAAGGTTTGTCTTTTTTAGATCCCAGGAAACATGTTTTTCTTTTCTAGATTCTATGCTGCTTCTATTAGACCTATTGACCTTAAAAAACAAAGGAGCCAGTTATTTTACCAGCAAAATGGATTTATTTAGGAATAGCAGAGGAATTGCAATTCAGGATAAGCGAACTATGGCAAACGGTTATAGACAGGTCAGAAGAGCAGAGGGGAGGGGCTTGCTTTTATAGGGGAAAAAGCACAAGTTGGGAGGAACTGTTCTAGAAGAGTTCAGGGAGGTTATGGCTTCTCATTGGCTGAATGTGCAGTTTCTTATTGGCTGGGCTGCACCTAGGAGCCCAACTTGAAGGCAACCAGCTAAAGGTGACGATTGAGGTGTTTTGCTGGGCAAGGAGAAATTCTTCCTTCCTTCTGCTGTAATATGTCCTGTTTGGGGATCTAGGTGGCAGTGTGTGAGAAATGCCCCGTAGGGCTTACTGACTCCATTTAAGATGAGGTTTCCTTTTATGGTCATGTGTCACTTAATGATGGGGATACTTCTTGAGAAATATGCTGTTAGGTGATTTCATCATTGTGGGAATGTCACAGAGTGCACTTACACAAACGTGGATGGTCTAGCGTACTTCACACCTAGGCTATCTGATATAGTCTATTGCTCCTAGGCTACAAACCTGTACAGCATGCTACTGCACTGAATACTGTAAGCAATTGTTACACAATGTTATTTGTGTACCTAAACATATCTAAACATAGAAACAGTACAGTAAAAATATAATATAAAAGATAAAAAATGGTATAGGGCACTTACTATGAGTGGAGCTTGCAGGACTAGAAGTTGCCCTGGGTGAGTCAGTGAGTGAGTGGTGAGTGAATGTGAAGGCCTAGGACTTGACTGTCCACTACTGTAGACTATAAACACTGCCTCACAAGCCCTCCACCTGCTTCCTCCCAACAGGGTCAGAAACATCGAAGCTGCCAGTGCTGCTCCATGAACAGGGATGTGGGCTGTATTGATGGGAAGTATCGAGGAGAAACTGACTGGGTAAGTCATAGATCACAATAACAGCTCCTGTCAAAAGGGAGTGAAAGCTGGCCTGAGGATCAGAAGGAATAAGAAATTGACATGGCGTCTTCCAGAATCACAGCAGTCACAGTTGTTGCTGAGCTTGCTGAGGTCGCTGAGCTTTCAGAAAAGAAATGCATTTTTTCACCCACTTTGCCATTGGACGCGCACAGACTTTCTTGCCTTTTTTGGTAGTGAATCTGTGGAAAAACAGATGCTGAGTGTCAATGCCGAGAACTTCTGCCTTCTGGAAAGGGATGGGAAAGGAGGGTCAGCTGCCCGACCTGGTCTTCTCACACTGCTGGTCTTCTCACCTTGCCGCACCCCTATTGCACTGTCCTTGTTTCCTCTTATGGCCCTCCTGCTTCTCCAATACCCTACTTTTCCCTGGAAACCTCATTTTCAGGCCCACCGCCCCCAGGAAACATTTTCCAACAGCTCAAGTCAGAAGCACTAACCTGTACCGCGCGTCTTAACATGACAGTTTCATTGAGATATAATTCAGGCATCATACAGTTGACTCATTTAAAGTGTATAATTATAATTCAGGTTTTAGTATATCTATAGATGATACAGCCATCACTACTATCAATGTTAGAACATTTGCATCACCTCCCGAAAAGGAACCTCATAGGCCTTAATTCAGAAGCACATTGTCCTGGGTTTGCCAGGATTCCTGTGCTTTCCTTCCTAGGGCTCCTGATTCCCCCTGTGAGCTCATTAAGACTGGGGTTCGTGGTTAATGTCCCTGAAACTCCTCCAGCCTCCTGCACCCTGAGAGCACTCAGACGTGATCCGAGCCTCAATGGGGGCGCTCTAGCCTGGAGCACTAGGCAGCACCCAGAGATGTTTTCAGGGCTCTCAGGCAGGCCCCAGCACATGCAAGGGAGAAGAGCCAAAAGAATGAGAAAATAGAGAGAAGGAAGAGTTTTGTGGACATGTGAAAGCGAGGCTGCACATGGCTTTGATATTGATCCAGTTGAGAGATGGTGGGGGGGGCGTCTATGTTCCCATGTCTTGAGTTTAGGCCAGCCTTAGGGACTTGTCGACCAACAGAGCATGGCAGAAGTGACACTATGTGACTTCATAGGCTAACTCAGAAAAGATGGTGGAGCTTCTGCCTGGTTTGCTGGATCGCTTATGCTGGAGCCTTGAACCACCTGGTAAGGAGTCCTACCCCAGGTCACCATACTGTGAGGAAGCCTAAACTAGCCCAACAGAGAAACCACAAAGGGAGGCTCCGAAGAGAGAGATGCTGCCAGCCCCAGCTGTTCAAGCTCCAGCACCATCTGACAACAACCACATGAGAGATGCCAAGCCAAAACCATCCAGCCAAGCCCTGCTGGAATTTCGGACCCACGGAAACCACATGAGATAAGAAACTGGCCTAAGTTCTGGGGTGGTTTATTATACAGCCATAGATAATTAACATAAGACTCTCGCCTTCCTTTTACAAATGAGGAAACTTGACTTTCCCAAGGTCACACAGCTTGTGACAGAGCCACTGCTTTGAGGCCAGCTCAGGGCTCTTCATCAGCCGTTGGTTAAGTGTTGATGAGTAAAGCTCCAGAAAGCCAATCAAGACACAAAGGAGAAGACCCAGGGCATCCTGAGCCCTGGAGTGCCCTCTGCCATATCTAAGCACTTGAGTGCCCTTTTCCCATCCTTAACTGTCTCAAAGTGATGGCATTCGTGTTGGCCTCTGGAGCCCCTTCTTTCCCCTTCTGCACCATTCTCTCATACTCAGGGACTCCCATGTCCTGGAGAGCAGTGACCACCCCCTCCTTGTGTATTTGCACTTAATTAAAGATGCTCCCATTTGTTGAATGTTCACTGTGTATAGGCATAGCACTAAAAGCTTTGCATATATTATCTCATTTAGACCTGCCAGGGGGCCTGTGAGGTGTGTGTCATCTCTCCTGCTACTAACGAGTCTGGCACGACCTGGCTCCTGTCTACCTGTCTGCCTCATCGGTGACATGTTCCTCCTCCTCCCACCCATCTGCTGCTCCTTCCTGCCCCCTTTACCGGGCTACTCCCACTGATTCTTGAGGGTCTCGGTGTACATTTCACTTCCTCTGGGAGACCCTCCTGACACCGAATTAGTCCTCCTGTGACTATGACAAAGAGTGGCAGAATATGCTGCCCCAAAATAGGCCACTTTGGCATAAGAATTATTTTGAGCTAAAGGTGCTTAAAAAAAAAAAATCAGGTGCAAAAGGGCTCTCTGACCTCCTCCTTTCTTCCTGGAAGCAGGAGATAAAACGCCCATGTGAAAAATACCTCCTTCCTTATGGCAGAAATAGTGCCTTTTGTGACAACATGGATGGATCTTGAGATTACTATGCTAAGTGAAATAAATCAGACAGAAAAAGTCGAGAACCATATGATTTCACTGACATGGAGGATATAAACCTGAAAGCAATGAAGGAACAAGACAAACAAACAAAGAAACAAAAACTCATAGACATAGACAACAGTTTAGTGGTTACCAAAAGGTTAAGTGGAGAGGGGGTGGTAGATGAGGGTAAACGGGATCAAATATATGGTGGTGGAAGGAGAACTGACTCTGGGTGGTGAGCACACAGTGTGATATATACATGATGTATTACAGAATTGTACACTTGAAACCTAGATAGCTTTACTAACCATTGCCACCCCAATAAACTTTAATTTTTTAAAAAAAGGGTCCTCCCGGTACCAAGAGGAAAGAAACATTTTTATTACCAGAATAGGGCGTCAAGACCAAGAGAATTCCGTAGAAACAGACCTTGCCAAGATAACTTGTATTACCCTTTGGCGCCCCTCCCCCATACATGCTAGTTACTTTTCCATAATTGCCTCTCTTTGTTCAACTTAGTATAAATACATTTAGGCTTTGTCACTTTTTTGGGTCTTCATTTTCCTATGAGGGCTTCCACGTACATGTAAAAATCTGTATGCTTTTCTCCTGTTTATCTGTCTATGTCAATTTAATTGTCAGGCCCAGCCTAAGAGGGTAGAGATAGAGTTTTGCCTCCCCTACAGTGACAAGCTCCCTCTTGTACCCATCACAACTGTGATTATGTGATTACCTATTTTGTGCAAACATCTTTTAATGCCCCGTTTCTTATGCTAGATGTAAATTCTGTAAAAGCTGTCTTATTTTCTCTTTTATATGCAGCATTTAGCACAGTGCCTGGAATGTGCCTGGCACATGGTGTGGGAGTTAGGAAATCAAAGCTCAGACTCACACCTGTTAGTGGCAGAGGCGGGTGACAACCCAAGTTGCTAGGTTCTCATCCAAAGGCTCACCCTGACACTCTGGGGGCCTGCCCAGCACCCACCATGTTACGTGGCTGGTAGTCCAAATGAGAAATACTCACATCACAGCCTTCCGGGGGCAGCTGTTCTTGGTGACTTCGTAGGTTCGCACCCAGTTGCAAGGAAGGGTCTTGTGGCTGAATTGTAGGCAGCAGTACCTGGCCACGTCACAACTGCCTAAAAAGCAGAGAGAGAAAGGATCTTGGAGATGTCCCTCTGCCTCACTCCCAGTCACCCCGGGAAGGGAGTGGGGCAGCTACATACGTGTGGCAGCTCCAAGGTGGATACTCAGGATGAAAACCAGGAGAACCACAGAAGCCATGGGGAAGGTCTTCATGGTGCTGTAAGCAGAGCCCTTCACAGTCTTCACCCCAGTTCCTCCTATCCTAGCCAGAAACCCTTTTATGGGGATGAGCAATCCCTGAAACTAGTTCCAGATAATTTTAAATTGAGAACTTGGACCCCTATGGAGGAGCAACCTGACACCGTGAGAAGGAGATTGGAAAGTGAGGAAATGTCATCTGGGGCAAGGGGAGGAGCCAGGACATAACTGAGAGCCTCAGACCCAGTGTTCTGTTAACACTTTCTTAACAAAAAGCAAATGCAGAAGTAATGAAATAATTCCAGTGAAATCATCTCAATTCCAGCTAACAGTTTGTTGTTCCAGATGAGTTTCTGGCTCTTGGCCAAAGCTTTCCTTGCTGTCTAAATATTGCTTATCTCTTGGTGAGGTCTGGACAGTCTCAGGACATGCATAGAGCAGCCTGACTAGGACAATGGACATTCGAGAACGAGGCTCCAGGCATATGCTACCCATGTTCTCGATGTCACACATCACCCCACACAGGAGGTGCCAGAGCCGCCTGGGGGCCCTCAGAACTATCTCCTCTGGCGTAAGGATCCCAAGCCTGGTAGAACAGCACAATGGACCCAAATCTGAAAGATGTGCATATCCTATGTCCCTGCTTTGCCTCCTGGGTGGGGCTGTTTGGGAGGGGGACCCAGGACTCTATATTGTGGCCAGATTTGGCTGAAACAGGGAAAGTGAATTCTAGACAGGTGCAGTGACTTCTGCCAGGAGAATCTTAAAGAGGGATAGAATGGGCTTTCAGGTCTGTTGTTTCATGACTGCACTCAGTCATTCCCACCCCCTGATATGACCCTAGTTTTAAATTTTTGAATTTAAGGTTAAAAAATAAATAAAAGGCCACTAGCCATCTAGAGCCACAGACTTTTTCCAGGCTAGCTGGGACCTTTCAAACACCCCCAGACTGTTTTGACTGCTCTGAGTGACCATTGAACTCATCTCAACCTAGGACAGCTTTGTGTGGGACAAATTTTAAGTCTTTTTTAAAAATTGGGTGAAATCTATACTCCTATTGCTTCTATCTATAGACCCAGTTCTATATAAATATGTCTAATTTATCTTGTCTTCTTTTGGAAGATGAGGAAATTGAGGTTTCAGCAGATTTGAAGACGTTTTAGTTTGGGTTCCCCTAGAACAGGCCCTGAGACAAGGATTCCAACACGAGCAATTCATGAGGGAGGTGATTCCGGAAGACGCCAGTAGAGAAGTGGGGAAGTGAGGCAGGGGAGGGCAGGTGCCAATACGAGGCAGGTCATCAAGCAAGCTACTGCCACCAGCAGCTGAAGCTCGGTTCCCCTGCAGGGTTCTAGGAGCCCATGGAGAGCCAGCCTGAATAGGCCCAATTGCAGGGTAAGGAAGCAGGACATTAACCCCCCAGCTGTCTGCATGGCATTGGTGGGGGGCTATGTCCCACACTCCCGGCTTGTCCTCTGAGCAGGCTGAACCTGCTCTGTGATCAGGGAAAAGCCCTTTAGGTGGAGTCCAGGGTGTCCTAAGTGAGCACTCATTGGCTCACAGAAGGGAATGATGAAGGAATATGGGTGGGACTCCAACAGCACCTGCTACAACCATTACCATGTGTGGCCCCGAATGTTCTCTTCTTTAGGCTAAATTCCCCTGTGCCTTCAACTGCCAGCACCATCCTACTGACCACCTCAACACACCAGTTTCAACTTTAATGAATAGCTGCTAGGGACTCAAATGTTTCATAAGTGGGATACATAAACACTAACTATAAGAGGTTGATAAATAGTTGATAAATTGGATTCTATTAAAATTTGGAACTTTTGAGCCGGCCGAGTGGCGCATTGGTTAAGAGTTGGCTTGGGACGCCAGCTCTGAGCAGCAGGGCCCCATTTTGGATCCCACATGAGGGCCAGTGATGCTGTGCCCTCTACAGCTAAGATGGTGAACAACAGCTCAACCTGGAGCTGGGCTGCCGTGAGTCTCCGACAATGGCGTAGGCTGCAGTGGGGCTGGCCAGCACCTGGCATGCGCTTTCATGAGCTGCCGTGAGCAGCCGTCCAATGACCGGCAAGCGACTGCCTTAGACAGGAAGAGCGCAATGATAATACCAACATGGGCCAGGGAAGTGACATCCTCCACAACTAGACTGAAGAACAAAAGGACAACAGCTTGCTGTTCCCTTTCCCCAATTCCCCAGCATTGTTCTCCTCCCCCAATTTCCCAATAAAATCTTTTAAAAATAATAAAAATAAAATAAAATAAAATTTGGAACTTGTATTCATTAGAAGACATCAATGAAAAATTGAAAGGCAATCTGCAGGTTGCGAGATTTTTGCAATACATCCGTACTGGGTTGAATAGTGTCCCCCCACCAAATTCATAGCAGCCCAGAACTCCAGAATATGACCTTATTTGGAAAATAGGGACTTTACTGTAATTAGTTAAGAGGAAGCCATACTGTATTTTATAAGAAGGAATGTATATTTGGTCTACATCCCTGGCACACAGCTCCTAAAACCCTTATAATTGTCTGAGCAATGGGAGTATCTTTTGTTATATTTGGTCTTTTATCCTCAGTTCTTGAAATAGCTCCAAAGCAATAAAGGCAAAAGGAGTATCTTATTATTCATAACAAGCCCCTCTCAAAGTCACTGCAACTGAGGGCAAGGAAGTCAGGGCATTCATCCTCCACTTCCCATCGCCACTCGCTAGGGGCACTTGGACCTGCCCTGTGTGTGGGCCAAGCGGGAGCCCTCAGGTGGAAGACCTCAGGGCCATGTGGATGAAGGATGGAGGGAACAGTAAGAGTGGAAAGGTGAGTGCAGTGGGGATGTGGGCTGGGCAGTGTCTGCTGCATGTGGACCTGTGGGTTGGGACAGAACATCCTTTGACTTGGAGCAGAATGCCCCATTCTGTGTCTGCAAAGACTCCACTCTCTGGGCCTGTGACCAATGTTACCTGCTCAGGGAAGCTTGCCTCCATCCTCCCTTCCAAGCTGGACTGGGTGGCCCTCCTCTGCTCCCAGACAACGCTGTGCAGCATTGAATCACAGAGAGCATCATCATCACTGTCACACACATCAGCTTACCCATCTGCCTTCCTCCCTGGATGGTGAGTTCTTTTCATTTCTTCCTTTACTGACACATTCATTCAACAAGTTTTTCTGGTGCTCTCTGAATTGTTCCAGATGTTGCGATCAAGAGTAAACATAACAGATGTGGTCCCTGCTGTCAGGGAGTGTATATTCTACCAGAGGGAAATGACATCAAGCAGAAGACTATTACCCAATAAAGTAAGAATTCTATCTGGGGTGTGTGCTTTGATGGAAAAGCACAGGGAGCTTTGAGAATGTAAACTGAAGGTGTCGGAATGAGGCTAGGGGATCGTGAGTCTTCCTTTAAAGACAGTGACCTTTGCACATAGCCTTGAAGAACAAGGGGCTAGCTAGTCTCCAGTGCATATGCATCCATGTGCACAGGTATACACACACACACACACACACACACACACACACACACACACACACACACACACACACACC